CTAACAGAGCCCAGCTGTTGCTCTGATGTTTCCATGGTGAAAACCCAAAGTTAGACAGTAAAGTATTTATTATTCCTCTCGCACGCAAAGCTTAGCAGGTGTAGAAAAATACAGCCATGGATACTACTGAATATACTCCCAAAGACAGACTAGCAACTAGACTCTAATGAACACGCTGTATTTTGCTACTGTTTCAGAACTGATGATCAATGAATCCAGCGTATTATTTCTGCTGAAAATATGGAGTGGCTGAATACAACAGAATTCAAGTTTGCAGAGTACAGACGTGTAACACACTCAGGAGCTGGGCTGTAGATTTCAATTGTAAAGTCAAATCAATCCAGAGAAAACTATAGGTGAAGCATTTCGCTACTTTATGTGTGCACGCTCGGATTTTACATTTTTTAAAAAACTTTAATTGAAGCAGTGGATACCAGTCTAAATTTTCCTCAGATGACTGAAAGAACAGAAGGGAACCTGGGGTGAAGGTAGACTTCAGTTCTGCTGAGAACTATTGGGACCATCTGGGATATAGAGGGTAGTGTGAAGTTTAGGGAAGGTTGGTGTTGAAAGGTGAAACCAGGCTTGCTCTGGGTTTGTCTTACCTTATTTGCAAGATTCAGGTCCACTCAGGAGCTTCCCAAGGACTAATGAAATAGGAGTAGAATGGGAACTTCCAAAAAAAGAAAAACAAAACTGTGTGGACACTGAACGAGTTCTCCTGCTCCCAGAAGGTGTACAATTATTAATGTGTTTTAGGGGTTTTCTGGGTCACCTTGCTTTTACACATTTCAATGAATGACAGTCCTTACAGACGTTCTAGTTTGTCACAAACGGGAAGAATAAAATACTGAGTATGTGATGAACCACTGAAATGAAAGGGACACTACCTGTGTGTGTTTAAGAAGCAGATACTAAGTGTAATTCCCATAAATAAGACGGCCAAGCACATTTCAGAGTTTCAGTGTGCAGTAATATCTCTCTAACTGATGGCTGAGTTTGATACAGAAACTTCTAACTGCCTTTTCATATGCTTTGGGCTTCAACACACTACAATGAATTCTTAATATGGTAATAAAAGTACAGGTAATTGACATCTAGAGGTAAACCCCAACTTTTACATTTCAGCCAGGGTTCTTCTCACCAACCTCACAGTCTAATTCCTGCCCCCTCGAGTCATGCCTCCAAATGACCAGCAGTGACCACATGGACTTGTTTGGGTAGTATTCACTTTCTACTTCATTCACTATCTGCTGATGAAGATGCAATGAGAAACAAATTGTATAAAATGGTGGTAATAAAATTTTAAAAAAGAAAAATAAAAAGAAGAACCAAATTGTCTACAAAAATCATGGTCAGTGGAAGCTGATGTCTATCTCAGGTTCACATGTTGTCCAGTCAGCCTGATCCAGCCTGGCTCCCGAAGAGATCTTGGCCTGGCTTGGTCTAGAAGGATGGTCATATGGTATCAGTCGTAAGAGAACAAGAGCCGCTATGGGGTCTCAAATACCAAGACCACTGGCTTACAGTGATTCTTACCTTTGGGGTGTATGGGCATATATAGAGAGAGGAGGGGGGAAGGAGAAAGGAAAGGAAGCAGCCTGGCTTAGTGGTAAGATGTTGCTTTATCAACCCCAAGATGTGTGGTTCAAAGCTACCAGGTGCTCCACCCAGAAAGATGGGGGTTCTCTGTAGGTGTGATTTAAAGCCTTGGAAAATCCACTAGAGGGTCAGCTATGAGTCGGAATCTGAATCTGACTTGCCAGCCCACAAAAAAAAAACACCACACACCAAATAGCAATTCATGGTCGGGCTTTGAGCATGAATAATCCCCGTGTTGAGAACCACTGCCGGATCCAAGCTACCAATGTACCAAGTTGCTGGTTTCTGTTTTCCCTCATGTGGAATCTCCTCCACTAGGCCGCCAGGCACCTCTTCAAACATGCACAGCTGACACCTCCATGCCAATAGCTGAATTCCTGCAGTGGTTTAAGAAAACCTCTACAGAACTAACCCCTACTGACCGTGTACTTTCATCTCATCCCTGTGCTACCTCTCTCCCCCCATTTACTTTATACTCTTTCAAAATTCCAGTTAGTGACCCAGGTACACGAAGCCCACTTCTTCTTATGCCATTGAACATGACATTACCTCAGCCTGGAGCACTCTTCTCCTATTCTCACAAAGCCTATTCTTCATCACTCAGCCTAAGTGTCCGAGAAAGCCTCTCAGACCACTTCCATCCCACTATTCTCTTTTTTTTTTTCTCTTTCTTGAAGAATGTTTAAAATGGCTATGTATATCGGAATCCACACTCCATTTGAAAATGCAACATTACTGACAAAATTTAGTTGTTTTTGACCAGAGGATAAATGTGTAGAATTACTCTTCTATAATATTTTTATATACAACTTACACAGCAAGTGTGTTGGTCCTTCTGGCATAACTCCTTCATTTATTGCCATTCAGTCAGTTCTAGCTCACAGCCACCCTCCATTGGGTTTCCAAGGCTGGAAATCTTAATGGGAGGAGACTGTCTGTCCATCTTTCTCCCAAGAGCACTGATTTCAAGTTTTTTTCTTTCCCTGAGTATGCAATATTTACCTTTATTGTCTCTCATGTGAACACACTTTCTGTGTGTTCTTTAGTGATATTATCCTGATTTTATTTTATACAGCTTTTCAATCTGCCCAAGGTAATATGTGTCTAATACTTAACTGCTCTCTTTCCCTGTGCCAGGTGCATTTTATCGTACAGGTATGCTGTTTTATTTCTCTAGGTATATAACAATTATTTGTTATTACAATGACTCTCCCTGCACATGTCCTTCTACACTACTGCAATTCTCCTCAAGGATAAATATGTCTATTCCTGTTACTTCCTATTCACACAGCCCTGCTTTCTCACTTTGTCAGCCCTCTCCCAAAGGTACACGCCTCTACTTGCTACAGTCTTTTTCATATACTGTCTTTCTCAACAACTAGTGTGCATGCGTTCACCACTGTATCCCCAGAATCAAACAAATAACAAAGTGAACTGAATGCATAAATGGATTTGGTTTTTTTTTTCTTTAGTTCCAGGAGCCTTATCAAACTCAGGTCAGTAATTATTGAACAGAAGTTACTAACACATCAGTACAGGCTAAGGAGTCGATTAATATAAGGCTGTTCTGAAAAACCGGCTCCGTCCTGGTCATTTCACCTCTAGAAATATAGTGATTAGTTTACTTTCATTGTAGATGTGAGATATAATGATATGACCCAAATCCCGGTCATAATCTAACGGAAATAAAGGTATTATCAAAGGTACTTCATTTTTGCTTCAAGAATGTTTTCCACATCTCATAAGCAAAATTTGTGCTCCTTCTATTTGAAAGGAAATGCTACAATACTTGTTCTGTTTTTGTGTACTGTCGAGTGAAAACTGACTCACAGACGATGCTTAAGTGGGTTTTCAGAGGCAGTAAATCACATGGGAAGAGAATGTCCTTCATTCTCCCATAGAGTAGCTGGGAGATTCAAACTGTATGCCTTTGCATTTGCAGGGCAATTTCTTACCACCAAGTTATCAAAGCTCCCTAAATCTTGTTCGGGGGTGGGGGGCAGGGAGGGATTCAAAACAAACAAAAACACCAAAAAAAGAAAAAACACCAAACCCAACATTAAAAAAGAAAAAAACATTAGGTACCAACTCTGACTTTTTTGTTTTGCCTAAGACGGCTTATCATTGGCAGGCAGCCATGGCGGCTCCCACCCCTCCTCTGTCCAGGAACCCTGGAAGACAAATGACTGCCTGCAGCAGGCCCTGACTGGCCACTTCCTTGTGGGGGCTCATCTCTGGTCAGTTTTTAATCTTATGTTTACAAAACCAGAACCACAGTGCTGAGGAAACAAAAACCTCAGGCATGGTATTACTTCTCTGAGGCGATGTGGATTCTGTAATTGAGTATTCATGAAGTGTGATATAATTGTCCCCGAATTCCTCATTACGTGACTGTGTCCTTGGGAATCGTGCTCTATCTGGATGGTCAGGAGGCATCTAGGCAGTGGACAACTGTCCCAAATGGCCCTGGTCTCCAGCAGTTCTGCGGGGCACTTTCCAGCTCCAGAGGAAGGCTTCTCCCTTCCTTGTTTTAGGGATCTCTCCAGAGAAAGCCGTCTCGCTGGAAAAGCAGTGTCCACTCATTTGTTCTATATAACAAACTGTGCTGGGTGCTCCTTTAATCCTCACAAGAATATATGAGGTAGATGCTCTATTAGCCACATTTGCAAATGAGGGTCTGAGGCACACAGAGGTTCATAAGGATGTTTTGGAACTACTGGTCTCTCCCCGACTGGAGAAATGAGTGAAGACAAAGACTGTTAGTCCAAATGACTTATGAAGCACGGGAGTCTCAGCGTCCATAACCCTTAGACCAGAACAGGATGGCGGTTGGGCATCATTGCTGACCGCTCTGAAAGTTAGAGCAACAGGAAATCCCTGACTGAGTGGGAGGGAAAAAAATAAAGTAGAACAAAATTAAAAGCCATGAAAAGACTGCTCTGTTAGAACCATTGTAGTTATTGTATACCGTTAAGTTGGAACCCACCGCTGACCCTCTGGCAGGTTTTCAAAGGCAATTACTTGCATGGGAGGAGACTGCCCATCCTTCTCCCACAGAGCGGCTGGTGGATTTGAACCATGTACCTTTGGGACTGCAGCACAACTTCTTGTCTCTAGGCCACCAGAGGTCTCTTCTGACCCGTTAGTCATTCTGCAAGTTCAGAACTAAAATAATCCTCATAACTCAACTCTCAGTCAAACAACAGATAAGTCTAAAAAGGAACATAACTCTTCAGAACAATTAACTGTACAGTATTATAGGGCAGCATTTGAGCAGGGACGAAGCTCAGAAAGCAGGAAGGTATAGGAAAGGACAAGTGTAGACGGTAAGACAATGGAGAAGGAAGTTGTTGTTGTGTGCCGTCGAGTTGCTTGTGACTCAGAGTGACCCTATATACAAGAGCCCTAATCTCTGCTCTATCTAAATGTGCTCTATTGTACATAGAGTTTTCAAAGGCCTCTGTAGAAGGAAGATGGAAGAAGAAACGAAAACAGGGGAGAAGATTTACAACAGGACACACAGCTGAGAGGTAAGCCAAGGCAGTTCCACTCCAGTAGAGCAGTTCACACTCCTATACCACACAGATTCTTTTGTGGCTCGGAGATAATGAAGCCTCATTAAGAACTGAGGGGGAAAAGGGAGCTCTGGTGGACTAGTGGCAAGAAGCTGCAGTGCAACACCAAAGGCATGCGGTTTGAATCTACCTGGTGCTCCACTGGAGAAGAAGGGGCAACTTTCTCCTGTGCCAGTCGGATCTGATTTGATGGTATACAACAAGAAAATAAATAAATAAATATCTTTAAAAAAATAACTGAGAGGAAAGCATTAATTCTTCCTTCTTTCAAATTCCTTGACCTTTCTCACTACATTTATAGGCAGAGATTGCCCAGTTAGTCTCATTCTTGACCCCACATGTATTAATGGCAACTCCTATATCCACCGTGATATTAATGGCAACATTCCCAACTCCTATATCCACCATGATGTCTTGGCAGGGAGCGCTGTGAGACATCTTTGCAACAAGACTACAGTCTATATTTATCCAGATTACATATTCTGAAAGGCAGATTATTTAGCTATATTGAATTTTGTATTTTTCTCCAGCCTGCTTTCACTATTAAAGTTCAAGCATAAGGATAGTGGGAGAAAGATGGGCAATCTCCTTCTGTGTGATTCACTGTCTCTTACGTCCCACTGGAGGGTCAGCTATGAGTGAGTTCCAACTTGATGGTACATAACAACAACAATACACGTACAGAAACACACATATATGAAAATGTATGTTCTATTTTGCCAATTTGTTCACAACTTAGAAAGTTTCCATTTAGCCAAGCTCAAACTTCAAAAAATCTAGTCACAGTGTATTTTTGAGAGATGGAAAATCTTGCCCCAGAAATAAGAAAATGCAGACGCCACTGCCTCTGGATTTGCTTAATGCATACTCTCTCGTCTGTAAGACCTCTCCCTGCTAGCCCACTACTCAATATTCAGGAAGCCATGATCAGCTTCTTGGACATTCGATGCTAAGTCTGAAGCCCTGGCAATATTCCAATCATATCTGTTATCAGGGGGTCACATTCCTTGTCAGTGAATCCTAATGAATCATCTACCATCAGATAAATCTTCCCCAAGTAGCTACCTGCTGCTCATGGTATCAGTGCTTGCTAATCTCGCTGTTATGAAATCGTCTAGCCTGTTTATGCCAGTGTGTAAAATATTCTCTTCAGTTCATGTCCACATTTATTTAACAATTACCTTCTTTAATAGAATAATATCCGGGAAGGCTTCAGGGCATGGAGTGATGGTAATAATAATAGCAGCGCCAGGCTGAGCACGTATTTCTGCTCTCTCCCTTAACCCTCCTACACCACACTAAAAAGATAACATGAAGCTGACTTTTCAGACCGGAAGATGGAGGTCGAACCTAGAGTAGGGAGCTGAATCTGTGGTTCAGAAGACCATGTCTATGTTCTCAAGTTCAGCTCCTGCAGGGCTCCAAAGTTTCCTCCAGGAGCCAAGGCCAAGTGCATCTCTTGGATACTAGATTTCGTTGGTGAAGTTTATTATTCAGTGTCAATTCTATGTAAGTTGTTTCTTTGCTTACACTCTAGTGTCCATTACCAATGACTTCCAAGTGACAGAGAGGCGGGTCCACTCTGCTAGCTTCCTCCAGACTGGCTTTAGGTCACCACTGAAGGCATTCTGGAATCCCTGACAATAAATGCCTGTGGACAAGCATGAAGGTCCTGCACTTATCCAGGACTTAAACAACCAAATGTGCTTTGTTCCTGTCAGAGACTGACTGGTCAGCAAAGCCTGGACGATTTGCTAGGTGGTCCCTATGGAGAGAGAGTGCGGATCCCTGCCTTTAAAGCATGTAGCTGTAGTTTGCACCATCCCCAACCAGCCACTCACATTACTGACTGAGTCTAGTTCAAAATTACCATTACAGGTTGGAATGTGGTTTGGAACTCAACAGGATAAAGTGTACACAATTCACATGTTAAGTCCCATACAATGGTCAAAACCAAAGACCAACAGAGCCGGAAGGAGAACTGTTGTGTGTTGACAGAGGTAAACAGCAGGATGAATGGAAGCAAATTTAGGTCAGTAGACTTTTCTAACAAGCAGAACAGCTCAAGGATGGAATGGCATAGATACCTCAGGGAGGGGCACTGGGAGCCTGAAAGTATAACCACCACCCACCCTAACATCCCCTAGAAATAGAACATAAGACAGTCCTGCTTTGAACTAGACAATCTTAAGAGGTTTTCAGTCCTCAGGCTAAATTCTATTACAATTGAAACCAGAGACTTGATTATCTTGCTAATTAGATATCAACCACAATTTTCTGAGTAACAAAGGAAAGCACCATAAATTTTCTTCTTCCTTCCAACTAAATATGCACAACAATGCAAAAATGATACACACTATGGCACACTCAGCACATTAAAGCTGTTTTTAGGGGAAAGAACACCACCTTGGTCATCTCACCATAGAGATGTTCAGTGTAGAGGTCTGTTTCTTAAGAAATCAAAGCAAATCAAGTTAAGTTCAATGACTCATCATTCATTCTTTCTCACTGTCTTCAAGGGTGTTCTGGCTCACCGCTGACCTTCCATTGGGTTCCCAAGTATGTAACTCACACAGAAGGAGACAGCCCATCTGTCTCTCAAGGAGCAGCTGGTGGATTTGAACTGTCAGCGAAATCTTTGGGTTAGCAACCCAACTCTTTATGACCTATGCCACCAGAGTTTCCTTCTTTTTATTTGGAGAAGGGCATGATGCTTGGAAGGGTGGAGGGGCAGTGAAGGAGAGGAATACCCTGGATAAGAAGGGTTGACACTGTAATTGGGGTAATGGGGATAGGTGTGTTTGAGACATTGAGAATGGCTCAGAATAGGTTAGGGTACACTGGGTCACTATGAGTCGCAGGTGACTCAATGGCACATAATAAAACAACATTAGGATAAAAGTACATATGGAGATGGAGATTTTTTCCTCTCAACTTTTCTTTAAATTTTCTACTTAACTCAAGAAATACATCTACATGGTAGGTAAATCAGTTTCCCTCTCTCATAATATAGAAGTGCAAATCTTGTTCAAGAAATGTATTTAGGAGCATGCTACTGGTAAAGGACTGGCACACAAACCAAGGAACAGAACTGAGAACCCAGAAATGAATCCATCTATCTGTGGTCAATGGGTATTTGACAAGAAAATAAAACCTATTAAATCACGAAATGATAAACTCTTCAACAAATGGTGCTGGCAAAACTGGACTGCTAACCGCAAAAAGCTGAAACAGGATCCACATCTCACACCAAAAACAAAAATCAACTCAAGGTGGATCAGGTGGACCCAGGAATAAAGCCCAATACCATAGAGATCATAAAAGACAAACTGAGACCAAGCTTAGAAGGCCTAGTATACAGTATAAAGGGACTGCCAAATAAAGCCAGAAATGCACATTCTAAAGAGGATAAGATTGATGAACGGGACCTTCTAAAGATTAAATCTCTGTGCTCATCAAAAACTTTTTTTAAAAATTACTTTTTCCAACAGGGTGAAAAGAAAACCTACTGACTGGGAACAAACATTTGGCAATACCATTTCAGACAAGGGTCTTGTAATAAAAGTTTACAGAATCCTACAGGGCCTCCAGAAGAAAATGACTGATAATTCAATTACAAAATGGGCAAAAGACATGGACTTTTCACAGAGGAGGACATTCAGATGGCCAATAGAAACATGAAGAAATCACTAGCAATAAAAGAGATGCAAATCAAAACCACAATGAGATATCATCTTACCCCAGTAGCAGTGGTAACATTTAGCAGGGCAACAAGTAATAAATGTTGGGGAGGATGTGGTGAGATAGGAACTTTTATACACTATTGGTGGGTGTTGTAAAATGGTACAAACACTCTGGAAGGCAGTTTGGTGTTTCCTCAAAAAATCTAAAAACAGAAATTCCATATGACCCGACTATTTTTTTTTTTATCTTATTAACAGTATTTCTTTATCTTTCCTCAGTCAAACCCTGAGCCAATCACTTTCCCCAGGCTGCCTGGGGAGTTACAGGGAAAGGAACACATAGGGTAGACAAGACATGGGGAGAGAAAACCAACAAACTATGAGAGGTGGAGATGGCTCCTTCACATGGCGAAGAGGATCAGAAAGGCCACCATCAGGCAAAAGAGCCCCATGGCCTCTGAGAGGGCAAAGCCCAGAATGGCATAGGAGAAGAGCTGCTGCTTCAGAGAAGGATTCCTGGCATAACCAATGATGAGGCTCCCAAACACGGTCCCAATCCCAGCTCCAGAGCCAGCCACTCCGACCGTGGCAGCCCCAGCCCCAGTGAACTTGGCTGCTGTGTCAATAACCCTTGAGACAGTGCTGGTTTGGAAGTTGCAACTAGGGACAAATGAAATCAAGGAACGTGGGGCTTTCAAGCAGCTGAAGTTCTCATCTCTCAGTGTCTCTGGTTGTTTCAGGACCACTGCAGATGGTGGACGGCTCAGCAGCTGAGAGGCACTCCTGACCAGGGAAGGGGTGGAGACAAACTTGGTGTAGCTATACATTTTCAGGGGATGAGGTGCTGTGGCAGGAAAGCTGCTCCTAGTGCAGAGAAGACAGAGAGGGGAGGGGGGCGGGGACAGCGGGAGGGAACCTGACCCGACTATTCTACTGCTTGGCATATACCCTGAGAGAATAAGAACTGAGGCACAGAGACTTGTACACCAATGTTCAGAACAGCATTATTCATCATCACATGAACATGGAAACAGCTCAAATGCCCAACCACAATTGGAATGAATTGAGAAATTATGGTATATTCACACAATGGAGTACTATGCAACAAACAGCAGCAATGATTTTGTAAATTACTACTTAACATGGGAGGGATTGGAGAGCATTATGCCAAGTGAACTAAGTCAGTCTCATAAAGACAAATACTGTATATGACCATTATTGTAGAAAGAGTATGAGGGTTCAAAGAGGGGAGGAAGGGGTTTAATCACAGGGTCACATAATTTGATGGGTGGAGGGAGGGGTGGGTAAAGAAAAGGGGAAAGATCTGGTGTGAAAAACAATATATACAAACTTTATGAACTTGTAAGTAAACCAGTATGAAATTAAATAGAAAAAATGTTTTGGAAGGGTAAATATGTATACTTCAGCCATCAAGAGACAAGAATCAATGTATGGGTTTAAGCTACTGCTGAGCTTCCCAGCCTGGCAATTTGGCACAAGGCAATGAATGACTATCTGTCATGTTTCAACTGAGAATCATGCCACATTCCCTTCCCTCAAGTCTACAGGGAATTGTTCTGAGAATCAATTCAAAGGAGGTAAATTGTCATATGTAGGTCTATTTTCTAGAACAATATGAATCTCTTTCTACCTTCTAACTTCCTTTCAGAAAGTGTTGTTGACTTTAATTGGGTCAGAGAGTTATAAAAGCCAGCCTAAAATTCCTCATATGTGGCGTATGCTACAATTTAGCTTTGAGACAGCCAGGATATTCACATCGCGTAAGCACAATCTAGGGCAGGCGTGTTTCTGTGTCTACAGGGAGCCTAACACAATGAGCCGCTTGATTCTAAGGTACTATTTCAAGGCACAGATGTTGAGCAGGTGATTCAGCTATGGTCCCCGGGATTGTTTTCCATTTGCTTCTCGTCACCCTTTCCTTCCATCTTGCTCCCGCCTCTGCCAAAATTGTCCTGTCACTTTGGGACCACAGACATCAACATTTTATTCCACAAGCTTCACAGCTGAAACTGCTTCACAATCCTTAATCTCAAAGTTATTATCCATCTTTATAAACTGGAAAGTGTACTGCTCTTAAATAAGTGCTACCAAATTTAGAGTAAAGTAGCAATCTAGGCAAGTTAGGGTGGAAATCATCACTATTTGGAAATAAATAGCAGTATTCAGAGCCGAAGGGCTTCACAATACAGAATCCAAGCCCGGTGCCTTGGAACTGCAAGGGTTGCCCACAGTGACCCACTCCACTGTTATTAGCAACTTTCTTTTTTATTGTGATTTAAGTCATTGTTCTTAGTTTTGTCAACCTGAGTTTTCAAAGAATTGGCACCTGTATATCCCACGGGGCAGCTGGTGGCTTCGAATCACATGCCTTCAATGATTGCAGTGCAGCTTCTTGCCACTAGGCCACCAGAGCGCACTCAGAACACAGAGACCCTCGAAAAGTTTAATACCAAGAACCAGATCAGGAGCAAACGTGAGACATGCAGGCAGAGCAAAGACTATCACTTACCCCTGCACGAGTCCCCTAACTCCTTCCTCTAGGCATCCTCGATGGGCTTCAATGTAATTTTTTTTTAGCCCATTGTGTACAGTTCCTCCAGGCTTTTACACACAATCACACCATTATATTAATTAAACACGCACTGGCTGGGCTCTAATGCCCTCTGTTGGGCCTGAATGTTGTCTAGATCCAAGATGACAAAGTACAATTTTCATGGTAAATATTCTTCCAGGTCTTAGATGGCTCATGAGATATTCAATAAAAATGCAAGTGAATGAAAACATAAATACTAAAAAAAAATTAAATAAACTTGCTGTTATTATTATATGTGTAGGTTTAGTCGACTTAAATAAAAACAAACTTAACTATATACTGTCATGAATATCCCAACTCCTAATCTCATACCAATACTACATGCCATTTATTTCTAGGTCAAAAAGTTCCTTTTTGGATTCTCTACCAATTGCTAAAGCATAGATTTTCTGAAAATTTCTCAATTGAGATATTAAGTAGCTGAAAAGAATTCACGCATGAAGTTAAGGAAATTACATCTGTCTGTGAATGCCACCTGAGCCACCATGCCCTGGGCAGTTTGTTGGGATTTGGGGATCATGGTTCAATGGTAGAGAACCAGCAACAAACAACACCGAGGGTCCCAGGGGCCAGCAGGCAGGGGACAGTGGTGGGCACCTGTGGGGAGTGGCTTCCGTCTGTCTTTCGTGTGCTGTGTCCCCCTCACTATTAGGTTAATGCGCAGTTAATGCTTACTTTTCACCAGGCTTGAAGCCAGGAGCCGACTGGGGGCAGGGGCTGGTGGGAGCCGACAGGGTGCTCTTAATGCTCTGTACCGAGTGCCTGCGGCTGCGCCTGCGGTCCAGGCCTCGGGGCTCAGTGCTGCTGCTGCTGCTGCTGCTGCCGCCGCACACGCTGGCTCTCCTCCGGTCCCGGCGCCCACTGGGGGGCAGCTCGACTGTCTCATCACCATCTTCATGCCTGAGTGCCACCTGGAAAAGGAGAGAGGGTTTAACTTTGTCTGTTCCTGATCTGTGGACCTCAGCATCACTGTCAGGGCACTATCACCAGCTGTGATCCAAGTGCTGTCTGCAGCTTGAGCGGTGCTGCCCACTCTACATTGTCCCAACCAAGTGGGCACAGGAGGACAGGCAGGCTCTGGAGCAGGTCTGAGAACCACCGTGCAATCCCACGGGGCCTTTATCCCAGGCCCCTGTTTCACCACTCCTTGCCCACCCTTTGCTTTCCTCTTAGCCAGGAAGCCGAGTCCCACCTGAAGTCCAGTGATGGATGGCCCCTGGTCATTCCTGAGTTTTATCTTTTCTGAGACAGGATTCAGAAGAGCACAGCAAGGATTCTGGTCAGAACCACAAATCTAGATGACTGAGAGCTGATCTTGCCCATAAAACTATGGCGTCCTGGCATAGACAAGCAATAGCACGTTTGACCGCGAACCAGAACACTGGAGGTTTGAGGCTACCCTGAGGTTGCTTAAAGAAAATACCTTGTGTTGTACCTAAAAAACCAACTATTGACAACTCTATGGAGATTTTACTCTGAAGCACACAAGTTAGACTCAACACCCACTGGAAGGAGAGAACGGTCACCAGCACATGGTGTGGGGTTTCAGAATCTCGACGGGCATCCACCAACAGGCTGAGCTCAGGCCTGAAGGTGAAGTCTGCAGGACACTGTACAGTCTGTCCCAGCAAGGTACAAACATGAGGCTGAAATAAGCTTGACCTCTAGAAAAAGAGATTTTAAAGAAAAAGAGATTTTAAACAAAACAATACCTTCCTGGAAATAATGCATCAGAGTGGAATAATAACGGACTTATATTTTACCACTTCAATTTTTCACGTGAAAACCTGAGCTCGGGTACTAGCCCTTGCTGTTAGCCCAGGTTGTTCTCAAAGAGATTTGAGCCCAGCTTCTAGTCACTCCATCCTCCAGAGACCAACTGTGTTCACTCTCCATCTCTCTCTATTCTGTGTCCTACTCTGTAGCCTTCTTGCGGTTGCCAGATGTCATCGAGTCAGCTATGACTCATTGCTGCCTTTATAAACCACAGCTTGGAACCATGTCCTATCTTGCGTCTTCCTCACTATCTCCACCATGCCTGAGCCCACTCTGCAGTCCCTGTAGCAGTCCATCTCGGTGAGGAGCCTACTCGCTTTCTCTGAGCCTCTACTTTCCCCAGGATGATGCCCTTTACCAAGGCCTGGCCCCTCTTGAAAACACACCCAGACTATGTGAGATGAAGCTTCACCATCTTCGCCTCTAAGCACCACTTTCTCTACGACAAATAGGTATAGTAGTCCATGGAGTATATTCAATACTCTTCTCCAGCATCACAGTTCAAAAGCTTTGGTCATCGTTAGTCATTGTCCAACATTCAGATGCACACAAAAAAATTCACGATACCACCCATTTGCCCGGCCCTCCCTCAGCTCACTTCAGCAGTCAGCTCTGCTCCCATCCTAACTTCCTTCTGCCAAGCTCTGGGCTACACTCATATGTGCTTCCGGCTTCTTGAATATTTTTATAAACTGGATGGTAGTGACGAGCTAATTATTTGATTGCTGACTTTGTCACCAAAAAGCCAGGTGAAGCTCACTACTTACCGAACAACCCTCTCTCCAGCTCAGCAATGAGGCCAACAGTGATACATCTGCAGGTTCTTGGTAAGGATGCAGTAAGATGACCTCTGTAACGCATCTAAGGAGGGCTTTATCCAAAGGCTAGTACTCAAGCTGTATGACTACAGTGAGGCCCTCTGCTGAGGTGGCCTATGAGTCCCAAAAATGCCTCCAGCACATGGAACTAACTGGTTGGGCCACCTTGCATCCCGAGTGAAAGAGGCCCCATTCAGACCTGACATGAGAGCATGGAAAAGTCATATACATCTTCAGACATATAACCACAGTCGTCAACAGAAGGCCTGGCCACTGAAAAAGCTGTCTCTCCTTCTAGCCCACATTTTGGCACCTTTGGTTATTTAACAAGGTGAGTCTGGGTGAGGCAAGGCCAGGCTGGCTGCTCTCATTCAGGTTCACAGGGTCAGACGAGCATCTGACAGACACAGCCTATTTACCAAGAGTACATCTGCCCTGTAGCTATGGCACCTCCATGTAAAATTTAGTGAACGATTCTTTCTACGGGAGCTCTCGTGGCCTAGTGGCAAAAAGCATGCACTGCAATCCCAAAAGCACATGGTTCGAGGCCACCAGCTCCTCCAAGGGAGAAGGATGGGCATTCTCCTCCTGTGTGATTTACCTCCTCTGCAAATCCACCGGGGGGTCAGCTTGAGGTCAGTTATGACTCTATGGCACACAACGACATGCTCTGTATTGAGAAATCAGGTGGTACAGACAGTAGGGAGTTTTGCTGCTAACACAGAGGCAGTATCTCTCTGTGGGTTCACATCTACCAGCCACTTCACAAGTAGAAAGACAATCTCCTCTGGTGTGATTGACAGCATCTGAAAGCCTGTGAGGACCAGCTACGAGTCAGCTCCAACTTGACAGTAATAACAGAGTGATTCTTTCTACAGGTTGTACACATTCTATACAAATTCTCAGATACAGTAACACAGCTGACCATTTTGTTGTCCCAGAACTTTCTAGAGAGAGACACAATTTGGGAGGACTGAGGTAAGAATCGTTACATTTTTCGCCAAAGCTCTAATGTCAGAAAATTTTCCTGGAAAGCTTATGTTTTCTACAGAACAACTCGCCAGTGATAACTCTAAAAACTAAAAAAAGAAATTATGTATTTGGTCATTCATAGTTATTGTCCACACATTAGTATGCTGGATGACATTCTCTGAGGAAAATTTGAAAATTACCCAATCAAGGACCTTTCCAGAGTACTGAGAGGTAACGATGTCCATATACAGACTAAGGTGTACCTGATCCAGCCTATGCTCTTCACAATTACTTGCTATGCATCAAAGAACTGGATAATGACTAAGGAAGAGAGAAGAAGAATTAATGCCTTTGAGTTGTGGTGCTGGAGAAGAGTCTTAGACATACCATGGACCACCAAGAAAATAAATAGGTCTGTTTTAGAGAGAGTGAAACCAAGTTTCTCCTTGGAGGCTAAGATTTTGAAGCTCCATCTCACATACTTTGGGCATGTGGCCCAGAGAGACCACTCCTGGGAGAAGGACATCATGCTCAGAAGTGTGGAGAGACAGCACAAGAGAGGAAGACCCTGGATGAGATGGACTGATACAATAACTAGGGCAATGGAGGTAGGTGTATCAGAATCAATGAGACTGGCTCAGGATAGGCAGGCTTCAGAGTTATCGTACATAGGGTCACTATGAGTTGCAGGCAACTTGACGGCACACAACAACAAAAATTAAGGACAGTATGTTTTTTTACTCTTTCTTGTCAATTACTTGAATTTTCATTTTTTTAGATATAAGAATTCTAGACCATTTGAACTTATTCTGACCTGAAGTATTGATTCTGCTTCTTATTAAACACACATTTGGAATGATAAGACCAGAGGCTAAAGTAAAGTTCAGATATTTCTAATTCCTTGTCTAACCTCAGAGATCTAAGGATTGACTAGAATTCCGCTCACAGTTCCCTCTGGAGAGTCACGCTGGGTGCAATGCACTGAAAGTGCATTTTGCTGAAGAAAATGGGGACAATGAAGGTCTAAATGAAAAGTCTGGAAAATTATCAAAGCAACACTATAAAATGGAATCTGCTGGAGTCTTCCAAAGCTCAGATCCTTTACAAAATACCTCCTTTAAGGAAAAAAAAGAGTTCCTGGTAAGGCTAGGGGTGGCATACAAAGAGGGTGCACAGAATCCCAACTGTATGCCCTTGGACTTGGCAGTCGGGGCAGTCTAACATAAAATTTAAGGATAAGGTTCAACGGCTTGGCATTTATATGAATTTTAGGATCACCAACCAACATCTGCTGATGCCAAGACTTGCTTACACGGGCTACCATGGCATTTCTAAATTGTTCTGATTCTAGGGAACATTGCAGCTTAGAGGGGAAAAAAACCCAGTAAAAGCTGGAAAACACCTGGAAAGGGCAGCTCTTTTTACATTTCTAAAAGATCGTTCACAGCTTCATTGTTCTGCTTAAAAAAGAATTTCTTAATAGCATCAAATAGTCAATACCCTTAATATTCCTGATAGCTATTGAAAGCTAATTAACATTTCTTCTGAGCTTGTACTGTTATTGCTGGTGGCAACCATCTTTTACATAACCATCTTTTATGGTCGGTATTTTTACATAACAAATACAGTCCTTTTCCAAAGTACCATTCCACACCTTGTTTCAAAGTTAAGTAGATGTCACTGAAAGTGTCATTTCAACAAGGAACTCTGCTGACAACAGGCGTAGCAGAGTGTTAAAATTTTAAAAACTCAAACTTACAAGACAAATCAGAACCAGCCCTTAGCTGACCCTCCAGTGGGTTTCCGAGGTAAATCCCAAAGGAAGAGGATTACCTACCTATCTTTCCCCGATGGAGCCTCTGGTGGATTTGAACCCCAGGAGCTTAGGTCTTTGGCTTAGCAGTCCCCAGATAACCTTGCAGGCCTGTTGCACAGTCCTTTCCCACACTTTGAGTCTAGAAATGGTCATGTGATTTGCATTAACACTGGCACATGTGACACCAGCAGAGGCGTGGGAAGAGTTTAAACATGGAGACTTGCCCATTTGAAAGACCATCACCGTGTGGAGCAGCTCAGGCTAGCGTGCTGAAGAGTTAGACCCCATTGACAGTCTGAACCAAACATTCACTAGATGACTGAAGCCATTCAGACCTCCTAGCCCCAGTCGTGGAACGCTGATGGCCTCGTAGGAAGGAGTTGCGCTGTCAACCCAAAGGCACATGGTTCAAAACCACCAAATGCTCCTCAGGTGAAAAAAGTGCAATCTCCTCCTGTGTGACTTACAGCCTCTGAAAACCTGCTGAAGGGTCAGCTACGAGTCGGTTCTGACTTGACGGCACATAATA